ATATGGATTCACTTATTTATAGGATGGAATTAAACAGACACGAAAGATTTGTTTTTTCAAACGTAAGTTGAATTGAGGTGGAAATTTCTTCCAGTCCAAACGTAATCATATCCTTCCATCATATCATGATTCATGAATGTCCAAAGTGTTAGCACTTAACAGTGTCACTTGGGCAGGCTGGGTTGGGTTGGGCCCAACTTAAAAGTGCAAAACTTTGTTCTGGCTAGGCCCAAAATGAAATTAAGCTTGAATTTATCAATCCAGGTCCAACCAAAGCTTAACCCAACACAACTTGGGTCATGCTTTGCCTCAGATTGAGTCGAGTCAAGCTTAGCCAGGCTTGGATGGGCTAGTTGGATTTCAAAGAACTTACGAACATATTTTTGTGTTGTCATTTTTATTGGGTTTTATAGACCAATTTAAGAATAAAATTAGCTGAAAATATGTATACATTTTATATATAAATTTATACATAATATATATGTAGGCATGTACAAAAATATTTTTATTAAATAGAACACATGTATATATGTATGAACATATGTTTGTGTAATGTAAGTAAGTATATATGTATTTATTTATTCGAACAGGTTCAAAACAAGTTTTGATCAAGACCTCAACCCAAACCCAACCCAAATATAAAATAGGCTCAAATTTTCTTACCCAGGCCCAACCTGTGACTTGAAAATTCAAATCCAACCCATGCAAAAATCTGGGCTGGATTGGATTGGGCTATGGTTGGGCTGCCCAAGTGCAACCCTAGTACCCTACAATTCATGTCAATATTTCGAACCTTGGCTTTTATTTTATTTGCGTTTAATAGTTTTTTTTTTTTTTTTTAATGTGGGGCTAATTTGAAAGATTAACTTTTAACTAGGATGCTATTGGTGGGACCCACTGTCCAAAATATTGGCATAGGCCATGTGGCAAGTGGCAACTGCGTTTAACGAACGCGTTCTGTGCACCCATGGGTAAAGAGTGCACCCTCGAACGAGATGCAAACACGTCATCTCATCCGTGTCAACTACTAATTAACGGAAATTTTCTCCGTTACTAGTCGTTTGGTTGGTTGAAGAGAAGCGCTCTCTCTCTCTCTGGTTTGGTCTAGTTTGGTCTCTCTGTCTGTGCAGAGTGCAGAGAAGAGTAAGGAGAAGCTGCTACTATGTTGGATCCAGGAAATGATTTAGCTCCTTCGACTCCGTCAATCTCCGACGTCTCTTCGTTCGATCTAGATACATAGGTCAGCCTCTTCTATCTCAGTCAAATCTGCTTTTTTTCTTGGTCTAATGTGAAATATGTAATCTAGGTTCAATTATATTTTTCTTTGGGTGCAGTCGACGGGGTCGTTCTTCCATGACAGGAGCACGACCTTAGGGATATTGATGGGAGTGAGCTTCTGGGCAGGCTCATTCAGGGTATCTTCTCAGAGAGAAAACAACATCGTCTCCGTCTCCTCTGCCGTCACCGGTGGTGCTTCCGCCAATACAAGAGGTGGCGGTAACGGCGGTGGGATGTACTAAGAAGGGGAAGAATAAGCCGAAGAAGAAAAAAGTGATGGTGGTGGCACCAGCAGCCACGGAGAGGTGGGGGGAGATGGTGGAGGCTATGCAAGGATGACTCGACGCGACCTTCTTCGTTGGGCGACTTCCTGGAAGTTGAGTGAAGATTCGGACACTCTCACCGCCGATGCCTTCCGAGTGGACGGACGCTGGTGTGGATTGAGCTCGCCGGTGTGTGGGTAGGGTTCGACGGTGGGGGAAACAGAAAATAGGAGAGAGGGTTAGAACTGAGATATTCTTTTAGCTGATTTTGTGTCCGATTCAACCGATCACTTTAGTTAACGGCCATGTAAAACGTTAACGTTAGTTTCTTTTCGCCCAAGGCCCCAACTGACGTGATCGACTCTCATTCGAAGGTGCACTCGTCCGATGCACCCACGGGTCCACAGAACGCGGACTCGGGTTTAACACACGGCACTCGTGCTATTGATATTTGATAGCTAGGGGTGATCATGGGCCGGGTCGGGCTTTGCATTTATGATAAGGGTTATAATTTAAGCCCGAGTCCGGCCCGACCCGGGGTTCTGGGCCTGAAACATAAGTCTTAATCCTGGTTTATACGGGCCCAGGCTGGGTCAATATCACTCGTATATAAAACATTAATATCTATATATTAAATGATATAACATGTATATAAACTCATTTTATATATTATATAATATAAAATATTATATATAATATAAATTATACATGTCATGTTATAATATTTATATATAAAATATATAATATAATATAAAATTTTATATATGTACGTTGGATCAGGCCCGGACTGGGTTGAAGTATTAAGATCAAGCCCGACATTAAAATTTACGAGCTTGAACATAAAATCCAGGCCCACGCTCAGAATTTTCAGGCTGGACAGAAATGATCACCCCTAATTTAAGGGCATTGCCGGATAGCATAACACCTGGCGTTGCTTCCTGACGAGTTATAAATGCCCAATTTTATTCTCCCACTCGATGGCATTCAGGAATTCCGATTTCACAGGATTATTTGACAAATAGGTTCTTGAACTTATATCTCCTACCAACAATAATTCGACCCACACCTACCCACATGACAGGGAATGTTACCTTCAATGTACAGCTGTAATATCATGTGGGTAGGAGTGGGGTGGAGATTTGAATTGTCTTGAACTTGGGTGACAATGCCGATAAATGGGGAGAGGTATTACAATCGACAAGCCATATTAGTTATTAGTTTGCTTACTTTCATTCATCAAATAGCCTCTAAACCCCAGATAATATGCCTTTGTTTTGCTTCCTAAGTTAGAGAATCATCTCCTACTTACCTTGCACTCACCCATTTGGGATGAATTACAGTAGGGGTGTTCATTATACGGTTCAACCGCATCAAATTGAATTTGTGGTTTGATTCGGTTTAAGCTTATAAACGGTTTGGTTTGGTTTTAAAGTTTTCTAAATTATGGTTTACGGTTTTGATTTGGTTTATTAAATTTTATAAACCAAACCTAACTATAAATCATAAGCTGAAATTATATATATAATATGAATATAGGATATATAAATATTATATATAATATATCTAAATGAAATACATAAAATTATAAATATATAATGAACTCTTTATTTTATAATATATTAATAAATAAAAGTTTTAAGTTTTAATCTTTAGGGGAACTATTTGGGCTTTCTAATTAGGTTAAGCCCAAAAGAATCATATAATTGTCCAAAGTCTCCGTATTAGAAACCACACCAAACCATAATAAAATGGTTTGATTTGATTTGGTTCGATTTAAAAATTTCTCAAACCGTAATTTACTGATATGGTCTGAGATCTTCTCCAAACCACACCGTAAACCCCCATAGACTATAGGATTACCCTTTCTACTGCCCCCATAGAAGCCCCACTAAATCAGTAGTCCCAAAACCTTTTCTCTTCTCATCCAACAGCAATCAACAAGACCTCTCCTTACCATTATGTAGATCAACAATGGGCTCCAGGATTGCATTACCATTTGATCACCCTAAGTGATGATGAACTTTCAGGATACCATTGGATACTTATATGTCATTCTATAGCCATCCTGTCTTCTTAATCTCACTGAAGCAAAGTTGTACTTTCTAAAGCAACCTAATAGAGGAGAAATCAGCTTGAAGTAGCTCTGGGCTAAAACCGTGAAGTCACTTCATCTAAAGCAACCTAGCATCAATTTAATCTGTTGGTTGTCAATCATCAGATTCTCAATATCAGAAGCTTAACTTTCAAAGATGTTGCTTGGAGAATCCGGCATCTTCTGGGATCTGTTACAAATGCAAGGGTTCAATCATCCTACTTTCTGAGACCACTTTATGTTACTACAATAAAATTGAGATACCCACGGTTGCACACTTCTGGTTTTGAATTTGTTAAATGCAGAACTAGTTGGGCTTCAGGTCTTAGGAAAGGGGCATGGAAACTTTTCCCATACAAGCAAAAAGCATTTTGGACTTGATTCTCTGTTATTAACAACTCACTCATCCATATCCCAAGGTTGATTAACCAACCATTGGGGTTGCTTTCTGATATTGATCTTTTTAAGATTGTTATATATTTATTTCTGTAATTGATTTTAGTTAGATGAAAGATCCCTGACAAAGCTGGAAACAACTCAATGACCAAGACTCCTAATTCAGTAGAAGGGCAAGCTCATGGTTCCTACAATTTTCTTGTTGTCCCTATACATGTCAACAACATTTTAATATTCAGCTGAGATGCTCAAGAATATGTACTTAAATAAAAGAATGAAAGGAAATATCATGAGCATTGAGCAGTTTAACAGTTATCAACAGAACATTGTAGTTGACATGAACTAGAGACAGCAAAAACCATCCTTGGTGCCAAAGTATCTCCACTTTATTAGACATTCTTCACATTCACTGATTTATAGAAATGAAAGGCTATTTCTAGTGGACAAATATATGGATTTAACCATAGTTTGGTTAAAAGCAAAAGAATGCATTATTTATCAATTCTGAAACATCAGAAGTAACTGCAGTGTTGTTCACTCACATAATCTGTGTTTTAGCTAACATGCCCAATCTTCATCTCATGTATAAAAAATGTCAGAAAGTAAAAGACATTAGATGTTTTCGTGGTGCTTGAAATATTATATCATAAATATGAAATCAAAACTTCAATTTGAACTCACAAAATATTTTGTAGATTGGATGCATGATTCCATGCTAATGGTAAGCTATGTCAACTTCATTAAAATAGAGACAAGTTGGTTGTTGGCTGTTATCTCTGCCCACGTACTTGTCAAAACCATCAAGTTTCATATTGCAATTATAGAATCCATTAACTTTGGAGTTGAAATTATAGATCAAATATTTGCAGAAATTGAGAGCATCATTTTTCATTTGAGGTGTCCCTCACATGAATACCGCGCCCCGCCCCCCCCCCCCCCGATCCGGTAAAGAATTCAAAAATGTATACAAGTTGTCATCTCCAACAAGCCCTTTTTTACGGTACAAACAGATGGAATAATGATCTTGCTCCTTTAATGGATATCTAAGCATGACTAATTAAACTGATATAGTTGAAGCTCCATATTCAAAAGCATCAGAACTTTATAACCATCAGATTCTTCATCCCTGGATTCAGAAATCTGTCAAGCTAATTTAAATGAGATACTGTCAGCTTTGCTTTATTTCTTGGAGCATCTCCACCACTTTCTTCATTTTGGGCCGTTTGGCTGGTATGCTGTCGGTGCAAAGCAAAGCAACCTTCAAAAGTGCAAGCATCTCTTTCCTCCAAGCGAAGGAGACTGTGCTTAGCCTTGCATCAAGTATTTGTTCTGGGGTCTCACCTCTTGCCGGAGCTCCATGGACCCATTTCACCAGATCTACCCCTTCACCAAAGGCCTCATCAACTGGTAGTCGAGTTGTAAGAATCTCAAGCAGCACAACTCCATAGCTATAAACATTTCCTGGTGCTGTAACTTGCATTGTGTATGCATATTCTGATTAAGAAAGGAAAACAAAAGCAAATGTTAAGGGGAAAGAAAGAATGGATAACGATATTCAGGAAGCATGCAGTACTTGTGAAGCACAATCAGAGAAATAATTAAACTGAGGAGTCAATTATACATGTAGGTTACCTGGGGGAATATAACCAAATGATCCTGCTACTGCACTTATACTTGCAGTACCCTTTGAAGGATCCAAGAGCTTTGATATCTCAATCTCCCCAACTAAAGGCTTGGAATTGGCGTCCAACAATATGTTACTCGAGGAGATATCAAGATGGATGATGGCTACATGATGAAGGAAAGCCAACCCTTCTGCTACTCCTATAGCAATGGAGAGCCTTGTTGGCCAGTCTGGTTTATATTCAGTCTTCACAGTGGAATCATGAAGTAGCTGAGCTAATGTGCCATTGGATAAGTACTCATGCAGCAAGAGAGCAACATCTTCATAGATTATGAACCCAATAGGCCTCATCAGATTATCATGGCAGAGCTTTCCCAGCCTTTCAAGCTCCCTAATCATCTTGTTCTGGTGATGAATTACAGTTCTATCTATAGACTTCAGTCTCTTCACTAATAAAATCAGCCCAGATGGCATAACTGCCTTGTAAGCAGTACTGAATGTCCCAGTGCTGAGCTCGTTTGAATCCTTAAGAGTAGCTTTGACAGCAGCATCAAAATCTATTGCCTGCCGGAGATTCTCAACAAAGACATTTCCTGCTACTATCGTTGGTGGGCTAGTGGTACCAACATCTGCAATTCCTGCATCATGCTTAGCAGCGTTCTCTTGCTTCTCTCTCATCATAAACAGTGCAACAACAATTGTCACAGTAAGAAATACTGTCAAACCAGAACCAATCACAGCTAAAATGATCTTGTATGATGTCTTGTGATGGTAACCCTCATGGATAGGACCAAAAGAACCCCCACAGGAGGAACCTAGAGGCTCTCCACAGAGTCCTTTATTACCTGAAAAGCTTGACTTTGGGCTCTTCTGGAATGGTGCAAAGGCTGGTACTTGGCCAGTAAGCTGATTATTAGAGAAGTTAACCGCAATTAAACTCATCATTCCCTTGAATGCAGATGGAATATTTCCAGAGAGCTGATTGCTAGAGACATCCAAGGAAACTAGCTTGTCAAGTTTTCCCAATTCAGAAGGTAACGGTCCATGAAGATGATTGAAGCTCAAGTTCAGAGCTATCTGCAAATTCTTTATCTGACCAATCTCGGGAGGAATACTGCCGGTCAGATAGTTACTACCCATTTGCAATGCTAAAAGTTTTAGACAATTCCCAATCTCACGAGGTATCTCCCCTCTTATTGAATTCTGACTCAAGATCAGGTACTGTAATCTTGGTGTGTTGCAAATATCTTCTGGTATGGTGCCATTGAATCTGTTATTGCTTAGGTCTAGCTTGTTAAGGCTTCTGCACTTAAAGAGGGATTTGGGAATGTCTCCAAAAAGACTGTTACCAGAAACAATCAATTCCTGCAGGTTCATAAGTTCTCCAAGCTCTGGGGGAATCATTCCTGTAAATCCATTAAAAGCTAAATTCAGAAGAGTAAGGTTAGAGCATTGACCGAACGCTGGAACAATCTCGCCTGAGAGGTTGTTATTGTCTGCTTCAAAGTACGCAAGGCTACTGACATTACCAATGGCTTTAGGAATGTTCCCTATGAGACTGTTGTTCCCAATTCGGACACTGGAAAGTCCCTTGCAGTTCCCAATCGATTCAGGAAGATTGCCAGTCAACTTGTTCATTGTCAAGACCAAAACTTCCAGCTTCCCCAGAGCAAAAATACTCTCTGGTATGGTTCCACCAAGGTGGTTTGAGTGAAGGTTTAACAACCGAATCTCAGATGAAGAGCCTAAATTTTCCGGAATTTTACCACTTAATTCATTCTCATAGGCTGCAAAAACTCTCAGATTGGATAAATTGCCCACCCAATAAGGGATAGAACCATTCAACTTATTTCCGGAAATTTGGAGATCATGTAGTCTCTTCAGACTCTGAAGTTCATCGGGTATTCTTCCGGTAAGAAAGTTATTGGAGAGGTTTAATGATTGAAGGTTTCTGGCACTTCCCAACTCCGGGGGAATCGAGCTTCCAAACTTATTCGACGAGAAATCAAGAAATTCGAGCTCTGGTAGATTTCCAAAAGATGGAGGGATTGGTCCATGGAAGTTATTGTAAGAAAGGTCGAGCCACTTTAGAGATTTTAACTCAGAGGCTAGCGTTATGTTACCTCGGAGCTGGCGGTGAGAAAGATCGAGTATTTCCACCGTAGACCCGTTCGAGCTGCAGCGTACGCCTGCCCAACTGCAGAAATCCGATTCGTCAGGACCCCATCCAGGTACTAAAAGCTCTTCCTTGAGTGCCAACATTGTCGATCGATCATCCTGCTGAGCAACCACCAGCTGGGTTCTGTACATTAAGCCCAACAGAAAAAGAGAAAACCAGGAGGAAAAGGCCATGGCAGGTTCTCTTCTTTGTTGAGCAGTTTTTCCTTTACAGGGTCTAAAACACTTCACGAAAATGAACATAAAGAGATGTAACTTCACCTCAACAAAGAGAATGAAAGAAATCTAGAAGGTACCAGCCCTGCACAGAACTCAATCCCTCAAGGTTCATTGAGGACTGTAGATGCTTGAAAACCAATCCGCAGCAAGGACTGATCTCCACCGCCAAACTCACTCTTCTCTTCCAAAAGCAACAGCTTCTGATGAAAACGCACGCCTCCTTTCTCACAAAAACTTGAACTTCGAACCTGAATCTCCTCTTCTTGGCTTTTCATCAAAGGATCGAAGTTAACAATGAAACCCCATTTTCCTTCTCAAAGAACTCAATCATTTAGACATGCTAACTTCAATAACAACAGCTTCCAGTGAAAAACATAACAAGTCTTTCTACCTCCCAAAACTTCAATGGAAGCGCTGAAATCGAAAATGCACCCACCCCCAACTTCAAATCCAAACCTCCTGTCAAGTTTCCAAGGATTCAAGCATATAAGAACCCACCCATCTCTTGCTTCCAGAGAAATCCAGGTCTTCAGAGACCGAACACCCACATGAAAAAACTTCAAAAGAAACCTAAGCAAAGGAAGCTTCACCTACAGTGCCCGAATACTCAGGATCATTCGCAGAGTTTCCACGATTGCTCATAGCCAAACCAAACGGAGAGAGGGAAAGAAGAAGAGTACGACGTCCTGCCGTCCTGGTACTGGTTTCACGGACCGGATGCTTTTGTCTCAGACCTTTCTTTATTAAACGAGAGAGAGAGAGAGAGAGAGAGAGAGAGTTTCAGGCGTTTCAAAAGAGTTTTGGTGGAAAATACTCCCACGAGAAATGAACAGTCGTGGCGCTGCAATGGTCAGAGACAGTCAAACAGGTAATGCATTATAAAACAGTAGTGATTTCATGTAGCACGCGTCAGAAATTAAACGCAGATCGTGAATATCGGCCGTTAGATTTAAGGTAACGATGTCAAAACAAATCCATCACCAGATGTTGAGGTGGTACGATCTTACCGTCTTACTGCAGAAGCCAGGGCAGGGATATGACGTCTTTGATCTTTCTCCCAGAAAAAGGAATCTCTTTTGATCCCATGAAACAAGGATTCTCCATGGGATGTTCTCATATGTTTAGGGAAGCTTAAAATCATGACCGTTCAATCAACTGAACGCTGACGCAAAAAAATCACAGTGATAAAAAGGTTAGGTTTCATTCAATGGCCCGTTTGGAGAAGCTATTCAAAGTTCAAATTTTCAAAGTGTTTTTTTTTTCTTTTTTTGATGAGCAAAGTGGTTTTTGTTGGACAGACAGCGTAAAAGAGGGAAAAGGAAGAGGTAAATGATCGCCTGTAACAGAAAATAGATTAAACATATACTTACGCTTTATGAGAAACACTTTGTGCAAACAAAAGGATCATTCGTTTAAGAACTCTTTACCGTAGATTATGAGTGAAAATAGGAAATAATGATGATACAGTAGAAGTAAATAGAGGTGCAATGGACTCGTACGTGCTTTAACCAATTAATGGTTGAGTTCGATTAAGTTGGATGCTAAATTGCTAATCAAGTTCGAATCTGATGCTAAGTTTGATTAATTTTCTGGTAAAAAGATTACTTTTGATTAATCATTCAAACTCGAATAAACTCCCTTGAATTTTTAATTCTAGCATTTTATCCTCTAATAAAATTACTAAATCGCCTATTAAAGATTTATGGGATGATAGTAATAAATATCAAAATTAAGGGTAGAATTTAGGGGTGGATTCGAGTAGAGTTGAGCTGAACATTTGGCTATTTGAGCTCGACTCGTTAAAACTGTGTTAGGCTCGAGCTCGAATTCAATTTGACTAGAAACTTGAGCTCAAGCTCAGCTTAATTTAAAGCTCACAAGTTCGAGCTCGACTGCAAACCAAGTTTTTTTTTAAAAAATAAAAGATATACATATAAAAATATTTTTTTATTTTACATACAAAAAATGAAAATTATAAAATTTATTTACTATTATACATAAAAAATAAAAATTATTATATATAAAATAAAAATTATTTGTTCTATATATTTATATGTATATAATAAAAAATTATTTATTTATTATACTAGGCTCACAAACCTCACAAGCTAAGCTTCACTAGGATTGAGCTCAGCTTGATTAGCAAACGAGTTTATATATCAAGCTTGAGCTTGGCTCGAAGATCGATTTAAATCGAGTCGAGCCGAGCTCGAATAGCTCGTGAGAAGCTCAGCTTGTGGCCACCCCTAGGTAGATCTAAGCTGAGTGTAACTAGATATTTAGTTATTTGAGCTTGGCTTGATAGAAAAACACAAGGTTTAAGTTCATATTCAAGCTCAATTCAATATAGAATTTTGAACTTGAATTAAAAAACACATATGTTCAAGCTCAGTTATGCTAAAACTTGATAATGAGCCACAAGCTTTATTAAAATTAAAAATTATACTTGTAAAATAAAAATTATGAATTATACATACATATATACATATATAAATTAAAAAAATTATATATACTGTAAGCTCAATTAGGCTTGCAAGTTTTATTGGCTTCAAGCTTGACTCGATTAGCAAACAAGATTATGTATTAAGCTCAAGCTTGGCTTGAAGCTCGATTTAGACCAAGTTGACTCTAGTTTTTTGCACGCTAAGCTTGAATAGCTTGTGAAAATCTCAATTTATATGCTTAGTGCATATAGCTCATGATGAACATAAGCACAAATTGTTCTTTAGCATTGATGAACTTATCATTCTTAAGGTTTTCTCAATATTCATGTATTCAACTGCATATAGTTGGGATAAGGTTTGGATGATGATGAAGTTAGGATTTTAGAAAAACTAAGTTACAAGGTTAAAATGGTCTCACAAAATACCATCAGGGTAGTTTGGAGTTTTAAAAATGATTAAAAAATATTCCATGAAGTTATAGAACACTAATGATGATGGTAGGGGTGCAAATGGATCAGATCATCCAATCCTATATTATCGGATTTAGATATCCCTGTTTTGGATTGGGAATTTTTATATTATTTCCTTTTATAATATATATATATATATATATATATATATATATATATATATATATATATATATATATATATATGATGGAAATAGTTAAAAAATCTTTATATTTTTGTTTTTCTTTATTTAAACTATTATGTTTTTCTTTTCCTTTTAATAATTTATTTTTTAAATTAAATCGGATTGGATCAGATTCGGACATCCAACATCCTGGTTGGATTTGAATTTGAATCAGTATTTACAAGATCTGATTGGATCTTTAGATTGGATCGGATATACCCTTATTCGAATTCGATCTGATCCATTTGCATCCCTAAATGATGGGGTGAAATTCAGAATTTTAGGGGATTTATTACAAAACAAGTTTGGGGGCTAAGAATCACTAGCCCTAAATATAGGGTGGATGTTTGTAATTTATCCAAAAAAGCAAGATGATTTTCTATTGAAAGGAGAACTTTGGGGACAAAGTGCTGAAATAAAAAAATTTAGGGGATTTATCACAAAACAAAGTTAGGGGAGTAAGAATCACTAGCCCTAAATACAAGGGGATGTCCGTAATTTATCTAAAAAAACAAGAAAAAGGATTTTCTATTGAAAGGAGCACTTTGTGGGGGAAAAGGTTTTTGCAGACACTTGACTATTGATTTGGGAATCAATGTGAAGAGTTTGACATAGACAAGTGCACTTTAGAGCATAGTATTGATGAGAGAGAATATGAATAAGTAAATTTGAATTTTAAAAAGTCTAAAAAAATCCTAATTTATCAGCTTAAACTACCATTTACCCAGATGGTCAGATCGTTCAGCTTGGAAACTGTCCAAGCAGCTGGTTCCATTTTACCCCAAACATGGTCTCTAGCAAAAAACCATTGAATTGATTAATGACTTATTGACCCGGGCAGTCAAACCATTGATCCATTCAACAGTTTTTTGCCATTTTTATTTTAATTATTTTTTTATGTTTTTTATTTTTTAGTTAGGCCATCCGTTTGAACTAGATGGTTGTACTATCAACCCTAAAACCAGTAGCCAGAACAGTTCCGATTCCAGATCGGTCGAACTGTCAATACTTTAACCGTTGCCAATGATATAATATAACTGCATCAGAGCCAAATGAACTGTCCATCATTAACCATTTGATTATTTATCATTTTCACTTGTGGCCAATGTAAAAAGTCCTGGTATTGATCAACCACAAAACCCCTCCATGTGGCAGAAATAGGTTGCCTATGTAGGGAAACTTCTGCTTAGGGATGCTAACAGGTAGGGTTTGGTACAGGTATAGCTCGAAACAACCCCACATGAAGCCCTTCCAACCTAAGTGAGATGGCATATTGAACCTTGCTTGACTTTCCTAAAAGGTATTCTTATGCTTACCAAGGCTAATGAGTAGTCACACAAATTTTCTGTTTATCAACAGTAGGGATGGCAATGGGGTTGTTTTCGGGAGGGTTTTGTATGTAAATTCTAGATCCTATCCGTCTCCCAATACCTCCTAACCTATACCCTCTCTAAAACCTATAGTGGGTTTGGATTTTCAAAATCCAAATCCTCCCTACACATGAAAATGCAAAATCCTCTCAAACTCTGTCCTTATTTGAGGGTGGAGTGGATTGGATTAGGAGGTTGGATGTAGAATCCACATCTAATTTCCTATTATTTTTTGTTATATATAGGCAATAAACAAGTAAAATAACATGAACATACATCGAAATTTCTCATTATTTGATTAAAATATGTAGAAAATACATAAACCATCAATTATCATTTACATAAAATTTAAAATATTATTAAATTCAACATCTAATACATAATTTCACATACCTTCCAATAATATCCGGGTCGGGTTTAGCTAATACTATGCCCTACCTGTACTCGCATAAGTTGTAAAATCCCAAAACCCATACATTACAATAAAATTCACATATCATAAGATCAAAGTCATCAGAATTCCACAATCTAAATTTGGCCATGATAAAACCATTAAGCAGTCTCTATAGAAACAATTTAAATCTTGGAGGCAATTTCAAATTCCACACCCGGTCCATTGAATAACCTGTCTAGACTGAGGATCAAACAATTGATTACTAGAATTTGGAACATGACAATAAGCATGTTCGACTTTAAAAAGACCAGATCTTTTCTTAATCCACAACCATTTAAGGTTAGAATCCTGGTCTAAGAATAGAAATTTGCCATACTAGAGAAATAACAGGAAGGATAAATATCAGATTTAACTTATGATCATCCTATTAGACATTATTTATCATTAAATCTTTCAGTTTTATCATTTGAGGAGAAGATTGAACTGGACTCCAAGGAAAATGTCCCATTATTTTGGGCAAGGAGCTTTCCAAACCGAACCTTGATCCCCATATTTAACCAAATAGCCCAGCTCGACTAAAGAGATTGAAAAATAGGAGCAAGGGATTTCCAAATGGAAGAACTAGTAGAAGTAGTTAGTGAAGGAAAGAAGTCTTCACCCTTCAAATATTTTTCTTTCCACACTTAAACTTGAACCCAAAGTTTGCTTTCTTCAGTAATAAAACACCAAGCTAAGTTCTTAAGGGCATTATTAAAGTTTTTAAGGAGGACAGTATTAAATCCTTAGCTTTATGAAAACTATGGTTTTCAAAACCGGATCGGACTGGACGAGGACCAGAAAAACTAGAAACTAGTTAGGTGATCGGTTCCGTTTTACCCTAAAACCTTTATTTCGCCAAAAAACTGTTGATATATAATATATAATATGTTATATATTAATATTAATATAATAAAATTTGATTTTATAATATATATTTTATGTTATAATATCTATAATATA